CAAACATAAGCTCATATCGTTACATAGTGCCCATAAGGATTTGAGGATCCTGAAGGGATGCATTGGCATAACAACTTGACAGACAACATGTACTTGTTCCATACTGTGCTGATGTAGCTGTGCTATAAGAATCATGCTGAAAGATCTTGTTCATTTTCCTTAACAGATATTGCCGTTTCCCGTTTGTTTCCTCTCATAAGATAATTCCAGAATAAGAGATGGATGTTTTTATTTTGTAGCACTGCAGTCCCGTGAGCATGTGTAGTGTATTTTCAGAGCAGCATATTTTAGTCAAAAACTAAGAACTAAGATTTAAATGCTGTTTAATCCAGTTGCTTCCTTGTAAAGGATGTCTAATGAATTTGACACCTTGTTTGATGGTACAGAAAGAAGACACAAAGCCAGAGGTGCCAATGATTCTAAATATGGATAAACAGCCAAATCCACTTGCTATCAGTCAACCAGGTAAAGAGACTTTATTTATATCAGGGCTGTGGCTCAGTGGTAGAGCATCCGCTTAGTATGCAGAAGGTCCCAGGTTCAATCCCTTGTATCTCCAGTTAAAAGTTCTAGCAGTAGGTGATGAGAAAGACCTCTGCCTGAAACCTTGGGAGAGCTGCTGCCAGTTGGAGTAGGCAATACAGACTTTGATGGATTCAGTATAAGGCAGTTTCATGTGTTCATATGTATATCAATCAATGTCTCAACATAGCCCCAATTGCATATACTTAAATCCATGGAAACAGAAGGGAGATTTTTCAGCAAACTTGAGGGACCCCCCCCAAATTTTTTTGCAGTAAAACCTGAAAAAATTAAAAGAGGGGGTTTTTTTTACAACCCCCCCAAATAGAGGAACATGTCTGTGCCAAGTGTACACATCAATTAGCAGCCTTGGGGAGGGAAGGATGAGCCAAGTGATCCTGTGTACCTTGATGCAGCCCATCTTCTGCCTGTTCTGTGGTGGCTGGCTGGTGGGTAGGAAGGAGTGGGACCCAACCCCCCACCAGTGAAGTGGTAGTGCTGCAGGTGGGTGTGAAGGAGCAGGAACTGCTGCTAGCTCTCTTTTTTTGGGTAGGTGAGTGAAGGAGCCTTGGAACTACTGCCACTGGCCCCCCTGCCAAGCAGTCAGAGAAAAACAAATAGGTGGGCAGATTGACTACTGGCCAGGTAGCCTTGCTGGAGGTTTGCAGGCGGCTGGGCAAGGAGGGGGAGACTCCACTGCAGCTCCCTATGGAAACTCAGTGAAGCGGCAGTGGTGGAAGTGGGGAGGTGAGGAGGAGGTGGAGTTTCCTCTGCCCTCCAAAGTCCCATCCTCTCAAAACTGCTGCTGAAGTGGCAAACCTAGAGATGGGCAGGTGGGTGAAAGGTGAGGGAGCCTCCACTGGTGGACCTGGGGAGGGGAATGAACAAGCAAGTGCGGAAGGCAGAGGAGGTGGATAGTCAAGCAAAATCTTCCATTTCGGTGCGTGAGGGGCGTGGACTGAGATGGTGAGCAGCCCAGTAAGTGTATGGGATCCCTCTCCATGAATCTCACAGGTTCCCACTTGTAACACTGTAAATCTGTAACTTTACAAAATTTGCTAGATTGTTATGTTTGTTGGGGTTACATTTAGAAAGGTAGTCTGGGGTTGATAAACTGGCAGTTTTTTCAATGATGAGACCTTGCCTTTTGAATGCCCTCCTCCTTGAGGCTTGGCTGGCACTTATCATATTGTGTTACAGGCACCAGTCCAAAACATTTCTCCTTACCCAAGCTTTTAACTAACAGGTTCCATTTCTTTAGCTGTTTTATGATCTGCTGCTAGTTTGTTTTATTAATATCATGTTAGATTGTTCTATGCCCTGGCTACCTTTATTGGCTGTTTCATTGGCATTTTTAGAATTGATTTGGTTTGATTCATGGTTGGATTGTTTTGTTGATATGTTTTTATTGGTATGGTTTGTTTTTATTGTTTATTTGCTAGGTTTTGTTTTATCATTGTGAGCTGCCTTGAGGAGGTCTGGCGATCAGTATTCTCACACACCCCGCTTCCAAACTTACACTCACATGCTGCTACCTGTCTTTTTCCAATCGCTATTTTTCTGCTCTTATGTTTCCTTCTTTTCAGATAAATTTGAGAGTTAGGAGGAAGAAAGAGAAGGGGAAATTAGCTGCTAAGAAGAGAGAGAACTGGAAATAAACAATGGGCAGAGAGGCAGACTGCAATACTCCCTTAATTTTGTCTGAGATGACTGTTTTATCTAGTTTTCTCTACAGGTTAGGTGAGATGTTCAGAATTCTTAGTAGGCAGACCTGCTACAAGTAGTCATGTCTAACAGTCATCTAAACATCCAGCTTCCATATTATCCTTTTTATTTTTAATCATTTCAGTTTTTAACTCAAGTCTGCAGACCTTGTCTACTAAGGCATGGCATTCAATATGTTTTCTAGAGAACAACCTTGCATTTGTCACAGGATCTCATCAAACAACATGATGGATCCCTTTCATCTTTTAACTTCCAGTACTTAAATTTTTTTGGTGCTTTTTAAAGTCACATTTCCTAATGGGATTCTTTCATAGAAATGAATGGACTGACAACCTGCAAAGAAGACCTAATGATTTTTTTTCTAATGGACTTAAGCCACTTATGAGCCTTATTCAACTGGATGCAATGGATGGGAAGACTAACAGCATGGATGATTCAACAGATGAAGTTCAGTCTATGGATGTGAGGTGCATACCATTAAAATCTTGGCCAGGATCTGGAGAACTGTACCTCTAGTGCCCTATGTCTAAGACTGCTTTGGTTTCATATATTTATATGAAATTTAATTTGGTGTTTTTCTAAAAAATAAATAAATTAAAAATCAGAAAAAGATGCTGTTTTTCATAACATCCCAAAGCACAAAACAACAAAAATTAAGCATCACCAAAGAGTACGAAACAACCTCCCCCCCCCCAATCTTAAAACTAAAGGCCAGGGAGGTACTTATCAACTAAAACTTATTGAAATACAAAAGTTTTTCCTTTTTCCAAAACACGTACAAAAATAGAACTTGATGTTCATCAGAAGGAGGGAAGTTCCAGAGCTGCTTCAGGTGGGATTCCCTGCTTCAGGTGGAACCAAATTTGGCTTCTCCATGAGATCTAATTTGAAGTAGGGACTGTCTAGCTGATCTTGGTGAGATTCATATGGGAGACACACAGAACCCAGATGATGCAAGGCCTTAAAAGCTAAAGCTAATTTAATAAATTTGGTGCAGATGCATACTGGTAGTCAAACAACACTCTGGCTGTGACGTTTTGCACCAGCTGAACTTTTCGAATCATCATCAGGGGCAGTCTAGCCTAGAGATCCCTAAGACATGGATGGCTCCTGGTCTTCCAGCACTAGGCTCAGCTGGTAAACTCAGCTGGTAAAGCTGCCAACCCCTGGAATTAAAGAATACAGCAAGGTCCAAGAGCACCCCCAGGATGTGAATCTGATCCTAAGAGAGGTCTTTCTCTATGCAACTTGTTTGCCAAGACTATCACTAGCATTGCTTCCATGCTGTCTGCATTGATCTTAAGATCACTTACTCAGTTCAAAAGTGGGTTGAGACGTGTTTAGCATCAGGATCTCATTGCTTAGTGAAGTTAAAAGGAAAATATTTCATATTGATTATACAGCTCACTGTCATTCTGGATGCCTTTCCCCACCCCTGGTCTCATGTTAAGGAATGTTGGTGGCAATATTTATTCCTGAGGAATTCCATAGAATATTTCTATGGGGGGGAGCAAAAGCCACCTAGTAGCTCCTTCTGGAATCACTCTAGAAGGACCAAATATACTCCAAAGCATTACCTGCATTTCCAAACTTCATTAGGTGTTCCAGAAGGATACCCTAGTATTGCAAGCCCAGAGATATCTGAGAGAATCAACAGACTCATCCTCACTCCACCCTTCTTAAAATCCTGTCATTTAGCATTTAATATTAATTTATAATTAAATAATTCTGTCAAAATAATACATTTCTCCCACTGCCCTTTCACAAGAATCTTTGAACTAGTATTTGATTATCTAACTATGGTCCACTGAGGTACAAAATACTTTCATATCAAAGGGTCAGATCTGTATAACTTAATGGTTTGCATGTTGCTTACCAGCACAATTCATTTTGTTCACTAGGGCTTCCTCCCAGATGAGTCTGCCTAGGGTAACTACTTTTCTCAAGACTCAAATTGTATGCTAAACTATCCACTTATAAAATAACTGAGCAGAAGGAATGTTTTTATAACCCAAGAATATTTTGTCACAAATGGCATTTAGTCTCCTAGTGTGAATAATTTTACTTTTATTTAGTAAAAACTTGTTTCATTTTTCTTCCTTCCCTATATAGTCCAGCTTCAAAGGAAGAACTCATTTCCATCCCTGAATTTTCACCATTGAATGAAATAATGCCAGGTGTATCTTTGGACCAAAATGGATCAAATAATGGCAAGGCTCTTGAAGATCTACTAGATTTTACTGGCCAGGCTACTTATCCTAAACTATCTAGTGAAAGTCTCAGCATAGATGATTGTAATAAAAACTTGATTGATGGATTTAATAGTCCAGGACAGGAGTCAACTTTCAACACCTTATGTTGACACACACTCCTACTCAGCAATAAGGTACAACATCTATATCTTTTTGTTTCTACTCTAGTCTATCTGCTCTCTACCTACTGTTTGCTAATAATCCACCACCCAAATAAAAATGGAAGGCAATGATGCAAGGTGATTGAACCCTTTTATGAAGTGGTAAGGTCAGAAGACCTGATGCAAGCTGAGATGTGTTGAGGGTTATGGTGATAATTTGTTGTTACCCACAGATACAAACAGGTGGTCTGTAAGGAGTGCATTCTGCTCATTTTGTTTGCTGGCTGACCACTTTTAGTTTTATGTATTGTGCTGTTATCATTTGATAGACTGCAAAATAAATCTTACAGCCAGTAAGTGTAATACATGTTGCAATGTATAACAAAGGCTGAAAAAATTCATAAACTCATCACCATTTCTTTTTGGATTGACAGAGGAAGTAATTTGGAGGATATAATGGCTCCTGATGCTGCTGCTGTCGGTAAAATAAGAGCTTGTCATTTGAAGAAGCTGCTGCAGTCCTCAACACTGGATGTCATCTTATTCTGCACTGAATTTACTGTCTTCCCATATGTATTTGTCAAATAATTAACCATTTTTGGTAAAGAGTGGAATCTTCTGTTTGGACTGATTTCAGGGCACATTTGCAGGAATTGTTTAGAATATGAGCTTCAGCTGCTAAGAAAAATGTGGGCATACAATATCTGTCTCCTCAGGCTCCTGAGCCTGTTCATTAATTTTGAAAAAACATTTAGTTTTATCATGGAACTATCTGGATTTTTTTTTTATGGTTGTAAATGCATCATAATTAAAGTGTGTTCTGCATTTGCCATACACCTGTCTTTGATTTGTTTTTTCCCTTAGGAAAAGGTGAATTTTTGCTGCCATTTATTACAGATGTTTAATTGCAATTTTTTTACAGAGAAGGCAACTGCTGGGAACAAAGGGGCCTTTCCTGCAGAAAGTAATATTGCTGCTCCTTAGAACAGTGCATATAACATTATTTTTATTCTTTTCTGTCATTATGTCAGATGGAACTGAACTATACTGGTAAAAGAAATGAATAAGATGGCTCTTTAAAGTGTAATTTTAACGGTTTATGGAAAAAAAGGTCAATGTGTTTAATCATATGTATTATAGAATTGTATCATGGCTGATGATATGTTAATGTTTAAGACACAGCATTTCTTGTCAGTACCAGGTGGCTTTCTTTTTAGTAAGTTCCTACAAACTCAGCAACATATAATTAACAACAAACCATACATAAACATAGGCAACAGGATACTTATAAGGCACAATCTTGAATACTGAAAATTGCACCCATGCAACTTTAAGCCTCTTGCAAACTCTACAAATATGTATAAGGGAAGGTTTTTGAGAATATATAGACATTTTGTTTGCCAAATGAAGGGTGTGATCAAGCCCACATTAAGAATGTTTAAGTGGCACTGAACTAAGTGGAACTTAATAGTGCTTAACTTGGACTAGATTGTGCCTAAAACATTTCAACTTTTGGTGAACTCTTAACTTTTATGCTGTATTCTGTGCTGCCTAGAGGGCAGTTCTGTCCCGTTCTTTACAAAAATAAATCTGTTTGAAGCTGATAAAATTGGAAACTTTTATATATAGGGATGTGTTAAAATGTAATGTAGCTCTGTTCTTGTGATTCTAAAAAGAACACCTGTTGAAAAGTTAAAGTAGATTACAAACTACGTGAAAATATACAAAAATGCTTTCAATATTTATGTTGATGTATTTCAGCAAATACTTTCTTGGTAACTGTGCAGTATGTTGTAGCATGGTACAGTGTCTTCCAAGTAAATTCTGCAGTTTTCCTCTTAAACAATAAAAAACTCTGAACAAATTTGGCTGTGATACTAGTTTTCTTGAATTGTTGACTGTCACGAGATTGATAAGTATTACATCCTGCTATCAAGGATCCTAACTGTGAATTCATGCCTGACTAACAAACAGACTCCTTTGACCTTCTAAGGCAAATTTCAATGCCTTGGTGAGAAGCAGGGATTTGGGGTTTTTTGCATGACCTCCTTAAGTAAGAAAGCTGGTACAACTGCCCTCTGCCCTTAAAAAATTATTCTCTATACTCAGCTCATCTTTCAATTGAAAGTATGGCTATGCTCCTGCTAGTACCTGATGTGTGCCTTCAGGCCATCCTTTTAGTATTGTTGACCTGACAGGGCAGCTGTACATCCTTATCTGTGCCCTCTTGAATTTCCTGGAGTTTCTTTGCAGAAGTGGGGAGACAGTGTAGCGTATTGATGGATTCGATATCCTGTTCCCACTCTTCACACTCATTGCCATTAGGCAAATATGCTCTGCTGTCAGCTAGTACCATTTGTTGACTTGGACAATATTTGAACTCCACATCATAGCATTGCAGTCATATCAACATTTACTGTAATGTCTTTGGAGCACTCAGTAAACTTTTTGAGATGACTGTCTCAGAACGTTTGTGGTCTAAAAACACAGTGACTGCCTGGCCATAATGAACTTGTTCCATTCCAAAAACCAGCAGCAGCAGCTGTTTCTCAATTTGGGCATATGTTCTTTCAGTCTCTGACAAAGCTCTGGTTGCATATGCAATTGGACAATCCTGCAACAAGACTGCTCCAAGGCCATTTTCAGATGCATCATACTGAAGAGTTAAAGTTGCTCTGGATGGTAATATTGTAAGACTGCTGCATTAGTAATCAATTGTTTCAGTAAATCAAAAGCTTGCTCCTGCTGTGTCCCCCAATCAAATGCTATATCTTGTTTAGTAAGCTGTCTCATAGATAGTTCAACTGAAGCCAAATGGGGACAGAACTTGTCATTTCATTAAAAATTTGTCATTTCAATAATGCTCTATATGCCTTTCTCATCTACCAGGGCTGGCATATTTTGGATATCCTCAGTCTTACAAGGGTATGTGTGATGGACAGTAAATGGTTAATGCTGTAACCCCGTCTGAGAACCTTGAGGGTATTCAAATGGGATTCTTCAGTTGAGAGTGTCAATTAGGAGTTGGCAGGTGACAGTTAACAGTGAGAGCGTGAAGCACACTGTGAGAGGATCAAGAAGGATCCTGAGTTAGGGAAGTGGGATGTGTTGTCTGAGGGAAATAGATCCTAGAAGATGGGGATGATTCCTAGCCAGTGGGTATGGTAGGAAACTGGAACTTGAGTGAATGTTCCTGTGATGAGACAAAGATGAAAAATTATCTAAGTACTGTGTTAAAAAACTATTTCTAAGGCTAATATAAAGAGGACACTCCAATAAAATATGTATTAAAGTACCAATTTTCCCCTGAGAACAATCACAAAAAGTGGTCTGAGTAAGGAATCTTTCTTAATTTTCCCTTCATAATGGGAGTGGGCTGTGCATTCAATCAAGATAATAAGAAAGCTCAAAAATAATTTGAGATAGTTAGATAAAAAGCAAAGGAAGGCAGCGATTTTGGTGAAGGAATACCAAAAAAATAAAGAAGAGCAGGCCCTGTGGGCACGAAACTATGAGCTCAAGTAATCCCTTTCTTGGATATTCTGCCTCCCCCCCCCCCGATGTCGAAGCATATCTTCCTATATCACCATCAGAGGATGTTAAATCCTACGGTGATTGCATCCAACGTATGGCAGTGGATTTGTCCATGACACCTACACTAGTCTCGAGCTTTGTAGATGACAATGTCTTCGACATCATGCATTCGGGCACCTCACCTTTGGTGGCCTTGCCTTTAACAAAAGTCCTCTTACAAACCGTTAAAGACTTTTGGACTCATCCTTCTTCGGTCAGTGTGTCTAACAAACGTTTAGACCACATGTATAAGATCCAGGAATCCGGAGCTGAGTTTTTGTATACCCATCCAAAACCCAATTCCCTAGTCGTATCATCGTCTACTAAGGGGAAATCGAGTCATTCTGCTCCATCCGACAAGGAAGGAAAGAAGCTGGACTCTGTCGGTAGAAAATTCTACACAGCCGCTGCAATGGGCATTAAGACGTCTAATTATGCAGTGTGCATGGGCCGATATCAGTATAATTTATGGAAACGCTTATCAGATTTCCTTCCTCATATTCCTAAAGAATGTCAAACTCAAGTAAAGAACATTCAAAATGAAGGAATGGCCGTGGCCAGGCATCAAATTAGTGCTGTTAAACATACGCTGGAATCTGCGGGCAAGACCCTAGCTACTTCTGTTGCGCTGCGCAGACACGCCTGGTTACGCTCTTCTAAGAGATGGCTATCTCATAGAGTTTTCTCTGACTCCCAAAATCTCCCGTTTTATCAGAACCCCGGCGTCTCCTGCCCTGCTACAGGAGGTACAATCGCTGACACAAAAAAACGCTATAGAGAAAGTCCCGATGGCGGATTGTTGCCGCGGGATTTATTCCAAATATTTCACGGTCCCCAAGAAGGACGGAGGACTTCGTCCAATCATGGACCTTCGTTTTCTCAATCGGTTCATCATTTACAGAAAGTTTCGCATGACCACGTTGCAAAGCATTTTACCACTCCTGTCTCCAGGGACTTGGATGGTCACTTTAGATCTCAAAGACGCTTATTTTCACGTCTCCATCCATCCTCGTCACAGAAAGTTCCTCAGATTCGCAGTCGGGGAGGACCATTACCAATTCAAAGCCCTTCCATTCGGGCTCTCTACCGCCCCCAGGGTTTTTACGAAGGTAATGGTGGTTGTCGTCGCTCATCTTCGCCTTCAGGGCATTCAGATCTTTCCGTATATAGACGACTGGTTGATGGTGGCAGATTCAAGAGAATGTCTCCTTCAGCACATCACCATCACATTGTCGGTCCTATCCTCCCTTGGAATTCTGGTGAATTTACAGAAATCCATGCTGCAACCTGCAACTCGCGTGCAGTTCATAGGAGCTGTCATAGACTCCCTAGCCACTCGGGCGTACCTTCCTCGCCAACGGGCAGATACCATTCGTCTGGAAATTCAACGTTTGTTCCAGTCCAACGTGACATCAGCGGTCCACATTCAGCGGATCTTGGGTCTCATGGCAGCCACCACTTCCGTGATCGAATATGCACGCCTTCGCATGCGCCCGTTGCAGCTGTGGTTTCTAAAGAAATTTCGCCCTTCCATCCATCCTCCGAGCCTTCAACTGGTAGTGCCTCCGCAGGTCCTCGTCTCCCTGCAGTGGTGGCTCGTGGACACCAATCTGTTGGCGGGTGCACCGTTCCAACCGATCGTTCCCGTAATGTCCATCACCACAGATGCCTCCCTGTGGGGTTGGGGTGCTCATACAGACGACACTTGTGTGGGTGCTCCATGGCAACCCCTTTGGAAGAGTCATCATATCAACTATCTGGAACTGCTGGCCGTAAAATTTGCCCTCAGATCCTTACTCAGACAGGTTGTAGGAAAAGCTGTGTTGATTTTTACGGACAACACAACTGCGATGGCTTATATCAATCGCCAGGGCGGGACCGTGTCCAGGTCCCTTTGCAGGCTAGCTATGGACATATGGGAAGAGTGCCTTCATTGGAACATCACTCTCCAAGCTGCCCATCTGCCAGGAACTTTGAACCAACAAGCGGATTTCCTGAGCAGAGGGGGAGCATCGGACCACGAATGGGAGTTGAACTCAAAGTATCTCCTTCCTCTTTTTCAACATCTGGGACATCCCCACATCGATGTTTTTGCAACTCGATTGAACAAGAAGTGTCCCAGGTTTTGCTCCAGAGCGGGGTTGGACCCTCTGTCAATGGGGGACGGTCTGTTGATGTCGTGGGCTCACGACTTTCTATACCTATTTCCTCCGATTCCGCTGCTCCACAGGGTGCTTGTGAAAATACAACAGGACAAGCCCCATTGTCTCCTGGTAGCCCCCTGGTGGCCTCGGCAGGTGTGGTTTCCGACACTGCTGCGGTTAGCCAAGGGATCCTTCGTACACTTCCCGCAGGAGTTGGATCTCCTCCAAGCTCAGGAAGGCCAGGTCCTTCACTACGATCCTCTGAGTCTCAAGTTGACTCTATGGGAAATACGCTTTCAGTGATGGATGACCGTATCAATGAGGTCCTGTTGAATTGTCGTAAACTGTCTACTAGGACGTCTTACGCAAAGAAGTGGGATTTATTCCTACAGTACTTGAGTTCTTCCAATTTACCTCCTCCGCCAGTGGATTTGAGGTCTATTTTTGCGTTTATTTTGTCCAGAATGGACTTGGGACTCAGTTTTTCTTCAGTTAAGGTGTATTTAGCTGCGGTGTCAGCTTTTCATCCATCTATTGATGGGTTTTCAGTTTTCTCGCATCCTCAGACGAAACAGTTTTGTAAAGGTCTTATTCGCCTGTACCCTCCCCGTCGTTCTCCGACTCCGGCCTGGGATTTGGCTTTAGTTTTGCGGTTTTTGATGGGAAAACCCTTCGAACCACTGGCCACTTGCTCTCTAAAGTTGTTATCGCTCAAGACTGCGTTTCTGGTGGCCATTACTTCTGCTCGTCGAGTCAGTGAGTTGTCTGCTTTAAGGTGTGATCCACCATACTTGATTTTTTCCCCTCAAGGGGTGTCGCTGTCTTTGGACATCTCCTTCTTACCGAAAGTCGTTTCGGAGTTTCATCTACGTTCAGATATAGTTTTGCCGTCATTTTTCCCGTCTCCTGCCAATGAAGAGGAACGGAAATTGCACTCTCTGGATGTTAAGAGGGCGTTGCTGTTCTATTTGGGCAGGACCAAGTCTTTTCGTCAGTCTCCAGCCTTGTTTGTTGCTCACAGTATGCCCTCCCTAGGGAAGAAGATCTCTTCCCAGACGCTGTCCAGGTGGATTGTGGAAGTAATCAAGCTATGTTACGCTTTGGCTAAGAGACCTCTTCCAGGTCAACTTCGCGC